CAGGCGGTTCCCACTAACCACGTATGCAGGAAGTTCACTTGTTAATGCCTGCAACGTCTTCTGTGCCAAAATGTACTGGCAGTTGTCCTTCCCTTGGTATCACCGTCGACGTAGAGGAGGGGGTTTACCTGCTGCCTGGGCAACAGCCTGTACTTCCAGTTCAACATTCCCAGGCATGTCCTGGAGAGACTACAGTCGCAGCAGACGCTGTTGCCAAACCCATCGGCACAACTATATGGTCCCCAGGGAGTAATGGTTGCCTACAGATGTTATATGTTAGTTTATATGCTTACTTTATAATATCTCTAGTGGCCTAGGCATGACCGTAATCTCAAGGACATTCTAGGTAAGAGTCGGTTACTACCTGCCTCCGAGCCCCACTATGGGACAGTCTCCTGCCATAGACCTGTATGCAGGACCTGTCCATATGTGGTTCAGGGTACCAGCCTGGAATTCCCGAATGCCAACTCCCACATACGTGTAGACTTTTATTGCACGAGCCGTAATGTAATTTACGCCATCAACTGCAAGAGATGTGGCATTAAATACATCGGTGAAACGGGTTAACGACTGGCTGACAGTTTCAGACAACATCTTTTGGACGTGCAGAACGGCGCCCTGAAACTAGTACCACTGCATTTCAATTCCTAGGACCACCAAAGTGTCCTCGACATGGAGGTGACAGCCACTAAATCTAGCCACTCCAGAGACAGAGTTCGCAAGTCTCTTGAACATCGCTTTATTTTTCACCTTGGGAACTCTGGCGCCCAGTGGTCTTAACTGCCAACACAGTTCTGCATAGTCGGCTTCTCGATACCACTGTCTAAAACAATGCAAGGTGCAAGGCCAGCAGCTGGGATCGAAACCGGCACCCCGGAATTTTGAAGCGCGTTCGCAACACCTAAACCACAGACTCCGAAGTAATCGAACAACGCAACAATAAAAACTGCTGATAAAGAAGTCTGACGATCTCTTTGGCAAACCTCTACGCCCCAAAGTAGAAGAGGATTGACTAAGTAAAGTAAATTATATTATTTGCCCTTCAGCTAACTGTTATTATTACTGTGCACTTAAAGAAGGCGTAAGGTTCTTGAGCACCCTTTCCACACAAAACAGTAATGAGGGACCTCCCCCCACCCCACTCCCCTTTTCAGCTCCTTGTGTGTATGTGTGAAAAGGGACAATGACAACATAAATAATGATGATGCTGATGATGAATCAGTTTCTTTTAAAATAGGCTACTATATTTTGTTTAAACCCAGTGTGACAAATTGAGTTAGCTGGAGGGAAAAGAAATTTTAATGGGGGCAAGATTCGTCTTCTGCCTGGCCAAGCGGAAGTGTCTGAGGGATGTCTTCTGTAGCTGGAGGGCAAATGCTTTCAGAGGAATCGAGAGCCTGTCGGGGCATCTGACGTGCGAGCAGACGGATCATATGTGGCGGGAAATTAAGTCTAGAACATTCGGCCACTTTTGGAAATCAGACGAATAAATGCAGCTGTTTTCTCCAGACTTCCATTTCCGACCATCTTTAGACTATTGAAGGAGAAAATTGGGAGGTTCCGGGTTTAGTCATGTTAACAGATGTAGCAAACTGTGTCTCTCTACTTTATCTCTCTTTCTCTCCATCTACCCCCCCCCCCTTCACCTCTCTCCTCCATTTCCTCCTCTTTCCTCTTCCTTACTCTCCCAATCTCATTTTCCTCTTCCAACGTCTCTCTCTCTCTCTTTCTCTCTCCTTCCTCTCTTTGTCTTACCCGCTCTCCGATATATATATATAAAGTGCATTCGTTCGTTCGCTCGCTCTCTTTCCCCTCTTATTCTCTCTTCCTTTCTCTGCCTTTCCCTTCTCTCTTCCTCCTCTATCTTTTTTTTTTCTGTTCCTATCTCTTCCTCCCTCTCTCCTTTCCCTTTCTCTTTCAAATCTCTCACTTTTCTTCTCTTTTCCTCTCTTTTTCCCTCTCTTACTATGTTTGAGCATGTGTGCGTACGTGCGAGCGCGCGCACGCTCGTGTGTTTGTGTGTGTATGTTTTTTTTTTTGGCTGTTGTGGTTTTTCTAGGCAAATTTACGTCCAGTAGTTTGCCATTGCATGTGTGTAGTACAATACTAAAAAGTGAATGTGGTAATAGTTCGCCATCTCACGCGATTTTTGTTTGATTTTATACGGTACGATTCCCACAGTGTGCATGTCAAACAGGACCACTAATACCTGAGCACATTCTGCAGACCTGCCCACTGTACCTACAACTTCGAAAATACACTTGGCCTTAAGAGCAAAGTGTGCAGAGCAAGCTATGGGGAACTATGAAGGACCTACTACTGACATGTGAGTTTATAAAGGCAACCCACCTTATGGTCTGAGCTGAGCAAACGAAACCGAACGCAAAGAAGAAGAAAGAAAAAGTATCAACCATAAACCATGTGTAGTGGTGTAACACAATGGAACCGACAGGTCAGATCTCTTTCTTCAATGTTCGTTGTATTCTAAATTACAGTCCGTTGTGTCTATAATTGTTGTTGAGTCCGTTATTCAACCTAAGCTTGGTCCTGGTGAAGTTGAACGTCCCTCGCTCCTTCTGTTACCAACGAAGAGTCGACATGCTAATAGTACCAGTTACAGACTGATTAAAAGTTCCTCTATGATTCGCCCTTAGTGTTGAGTAACTTCCAGACCCCCTACAGCACCCCCGTGTGTCGTCTAACCCCACCAGGACCGTACAACGAGCGACCAAATACCAGGTGACGCAAAGTGCCACCATTTGGCTGAGGGTCATCCGAAAACAATTCTCAGAGTTGAGTCAAGAACTGTCATCACAGCACTCGGGGCATTCCCATGAATGCTCCGTTCTCATCTTCAGCAGCCAGCGCAGAGTTTCAATACTGATGGTACCGGTAACAATCTGGTTAAATGTCCGTCTTGCCTTTCCTCTGAGTGTAATCAGCCGGCCAGACCCTCTGGTTGCACCCAGGTGCCTCATTCTCTCCAGGCCATAATAATCTTCTTTCTCTACTGATTCCGTTGCTTGTTCCCGAAAAGCCTTGACCACATCTGCCTTGTCATGTATCAGTTCACCCCCCAGTGGTGCGGATCCAGCCAATCTGTCTGCCTGTTCATTGCCCACCATGCCCACATAACCTGGAGAAAAGATTCAAAGTATGCTTACTACCCGTGACTTTTGCAGTGAAGCTTGCAACTCTGCTCGAAGCATCTCTGTCTTCACCTTTTTTCAGCATGCTTTCAGAAATTCTCAGAAACCTCGTTAGGGCCCCCGACTAAAGCATGTGGGGCTTTAAATAAACAAAAAAGTGAATCCTACATTCGTAGGGGAATTGAACAGTACACACAAAATGGGACCGAGTGAAATAATTAAATGACAAGAGAGATAACCATATTAACTATTTTAACACGGTACATTCAATTTCTGTACTGTCACCATTACTTTTCATAACATACATGGATAAGATCACTGTAGAAGCAAACCCAGACGTGTATGCTATAAACGAATTACTTTTTGCTGATGATCAAAGCATACTGTATCAAAATGAATATGATCTACAGGAACATCTGACTACTCTCAACAACAGCTGTTTACAACATAATATGAGAATCAGTACAGAAAAAACAGAAGTTATGAAGATCAGCAGAACACACAGCCCACTGAATATAAATGTTGGAAGTGCCAAAATCAAGCAAACCAAAGAGTTCAAATACTTGGGCAGTATATTTACAGAGGATGGAAGAATGGACAGAGAGATAGAAACAAGAATACAGAAAGCAAATGCTGTCACATACCAACTATCACCTCTGCTTAAACATCCAGATATAACCATGAAGACCAAAAGACAATTGATAAACACCATCTTCATTCCAACACTCTGCTATCAGTGCCAAACATGGACAATCAGCAAGACCCATGAAAGAAAAATAGAAGCCTGTGAAATGAAATGTCTAAGAAAAGCAGCGAACAAGACCAGACTAGACAAGATAAAGAATATAGACATTAGAAACACTGTCAAAACTACGCCATGTTTAGACTACATAGAACATCAAAGAATGAAATGGTTTGGACATCTAACCAGGATGAAAAATGATCAAATAACATCACAAATTTTCAACCAAAGAAGCTCAGGATATAAGGCAAGAGGAAGACCAAGGAAACGGTGGATTGACGGGGTCTCCGAAACCTGCCAAAAGCATGGCCTCAGAACATCAGATGCTGCCCGCCTTGCTTATGACAGGAACTTGCATCTCCCCACAACGCTTAGCGGCATACGTGGAAGGAAAAACTAAACTAAACTACATTCAATTTCATTGTTGCCCTTTGTCAGCTCTTCATATTTTGGAGTATACAAAAAGCTCGAGATTACTAATGGCTGTCGTCCATGGTAACGGTACGACGCCAGTGTTACTAACGCTGGATTTGTGGTAAGTTTGACGTTCCTAAAGTTTGATTAATTGTATGTCTTTTGCTCATAGAGATAGGTATTAACATATATCTATCTGGGAATTTCAGGGGGCTCTGGGATACAGTAAAAAACATAAAGAAATCAGGACTTCTTATGCCCGTTTTTGTTTAGTTAACGGGCCGAAACAATTGTCGATAAACTGGTAGACCCCTGCTGTGCATGTTCCCCTGTGGAGTTTTTCTTATAATTCATAACTATAGATACTAGTGAAGTTAAACCCGAAACAACAGCAAGGGAGAGGGAGACGCGCACACACAAAACCCCAGTATAGAAGAGTAAGAGGAGGCAGTAAAAACAAGGGGGGGGGGGGATATGACTTAAGAGTAAGAAGATGTTATTAATCTCAAAACATGGTTTCTTTATACTGTCTAATAATAAATAATAATAAACGTGTGTTGCGGTTAAATTTACCACAAAGACATGACCTAAAATGATTTATCCCACCTGGAAGTTGAACTACAAATATATAGTCCGCAAATAAGTTATTTTTTTAACCACTATTTTGTCTCCAACATTTTGCAGACTCTGCAGCCATGACCAGCATGAATATCGGGTATGAGTTGCTGCGGAACAGCAGCAACCAGAAACCTCAGGCCCCATCTTTAAACTTCACCCCTGATCGCATGATGCCGGTATCAACCATGCATCGCATGGCCTTGAAAGCCAGTGAGAAAATCATGCTCTTGATGAACAACACCCACCTGCTCACAAGGCATCATCGACTGGCCAACATGAATGACGTTCTTGTATATCTCACGGTAGAGGAGTGTTTGTTTGTCTATGCATGTGTTTGTAATCGCTGTTCATCACAAGTATGCAGTTTTTTTCTATAAATACAGGTGCCATATACTGGTGCCAATATGCACCACAAAGTGTCTAAAAAATGTGCCAGTACTCGTCACAAAATTACATCAGCCATGCGCTAAGAATCGATGACCAGACTACCCCCACCCCCACCCCCCTCCTCCCCCCTCACCTTTCCATTAAGCCCTTATATAGACACCAGAAGGGATAATAAAACAGAGCAGACCAAGAAAGACTTTGCGTAGACCCATCATCAGGAAAAGGCTCGGCCATGGGCCTAGTGAACATTCAAGACCTAAAACAGGTGTCAACCAACCACCAGACATAGAGAGCTATGACCTCTGCCTTATGTGCCGCCCTAGGCAGAAGAGGAAAGACTAACTAACTCAACACACAGTGACTATCACAGGGAAGTTGAAACCCTGATTGCTAAAGGATTAGTGATAGTACCACTAGTGTGTACCACCAGTGTGTACCATCAGTGTGTACCATCAGTGTGTACCACCAGTGTGTACCATCAGTGTGTACCATCAGTGTGTACCACCAGTGTGTACCATCAGTGTGTACCATCAGTGTGTGCCATCAGTGTGTACCATCAGTGTGTACCACCTTGTGTACCATCAGTGTGTACCATAACTAT